CCCCAAAACCCCAAAACCCCAAAACCCCAAAACCCCTGAAGTGAGAGACTAGTTTAAAATTATAAAAATTATTTAAATTTAGAATAAAATAGGATATGACTGACCATCCATTGACTCCTGACCCAGTGAAACAATACATTGACGAACAGAAGATAGAGATTGTCATGAATACTGGCATTAACAAGATTTTGAGGGAGAGGCCCTCAGATGCTCTGTCAGCATTGGCTGTTTACCTAACCTCGAATGCAGAGAAGAAGGCAATATTTTCTAAATTTGAATGTGAAGAGACTATAATTGGAGGGAAATACCATTCTTTCAACACCCAAGTCTTCATTGACTTTGCAGGAGAAGTCAAGTGTCGCCATATACATAACTATACATTTGAGAATGAAGACTATACTGATTCTGATGAAGGAAACCAAACTTTTATGGAGCAAGTAATTAAGGCAATGGAAATTATTACCAATGAAATCAATCCTTTGTTGGCAGGACAGGATCTTTCCATTGTTAAGAAGACTGATATGATTCTCCAAAGATTCTTTGAGGAGAAATACGCCCTTTCTAAGGCTGAAGGGGAAGGAGAAGAGACCCCTGAAGACCCTATTCCAGGTAAAATTGCAATTAAGGTCGCCTCTGAAGCCTTAATTCATGGAATTGCTAAATGATATGATGACTATAACACATATGATAGTTATGGAACTTTGATGACTGGCTCAAAAGTTGATCCTTCTTCTTTTACAAAATTAATGGTTACTGTTTTGGAGGTTCCGAGGGTAAGTACTAAAAGTGTGATGAAGCTAATTCATCTACAAATTTTTAATTTTCTGTTTTTTCTTTTCATAAATTCTAAAAAGACAGTAATGTTAATCGATATATAGGCAGGAGGTGCTGGAGGAAAAGTTCCTGCAGGAAAGATGAAGTTCTCATCTCTCTATTTAATCCTTACACCAGCTCCAGGGGTGAAACTTCTTCAAACATTTGTCAAGATTCAAAAAGCCATACATGCTAATATTAATGCTACTAAGGTTGGTCTGAATGGGTATAAGCTTCAAGGGAATGGAGCTTATTTCAATGCCAGTGATAATATCACTGAATGCCTTAAGCTCCTTGAAGATGCTATTAATAGCACTGGCTGCAACTCTGATGAACACACAGTTGCAACTATTGGGTTCAACAGCGAGCCTGAGGCTTACTACAACTCTGAACAAAACAAATACGATATTGAAGGGCCAAAGAACTTATTCGATGCTGGAATGTTTGTTGATTGGTACATAAAACTTCTAAATGACCATCCATTGGTGAGTTACCTCGAGGACCCATTCGCTGAGAAGGAAGGGTACCAGTTACTCCCTCAAAAACTTCAAGAGGCTGGGTTAGACCAAAGAGTTAAATTCGGCCTCAGGAATTTCCATAAGGGAAATCTTGAGACTCTCAAGATCCACACAGAATTTATCGAAAAGGAAGAAGAAGACGAAGCTGAAGGCGAAGAGGAAAAGGTACTTATCTAACTAAATCATATAGAAAGAAGAAGCTCCGGAAGGAGAAGGAGAGCAACCTGCTGAAGAAGAGAAGAAAGAGACTCCTGAAGGTGAAGGCGAGGGTGACAAGGAGCCAGAGGATCCTAATAAAGACAAGTTCTATGCAAATATTCTTCATGTTGATCGTACACATTACAAACTCTTCTCTGATTTCTTAGATTTCCAGAGTTATGGTAATACACAGAAAGGAGAAAGGAAGCAAAGGGTGATTATCCAGGACAATTTCTATGAATCCTCAAACTCTGATATTATTGACCTCGCTTTGGGACTTAATGCAGCATATGTCAATATCAAGGGAATAAACAACTCTACAAAGCTAGCGAAAGTGCTCAGATATAACACTGTATCAAGTAGGCTACTAAAGCTAGCTGATTCTGAGTAAAATTTGCTAATTTAGTTCCTAATCAATGAGGAATAAGCAACAGGGGTTTTGGGGTTTTGGGGTTTTGGGG